GGTTTATTATAAATTGAACCAAATTGAATATTTGTGACTGATGGTGGTATGTCACCAATCTCTAAAATTTGATCAAATGATTTACCCAATGTAATTGATGTAACACTTGATGGTATTGATAGATTTGATAATTTTAAATTAAAATCATCAAGTAAATATAATTCTTTAATATTACATTCATTAACACCACTACTACTACTACTAATATTATAATCATTATTAATTATTGATAATTCTTTACTACCATTATAACATAAAATCTTTACAGATGATGGAATTTTATAATTTACATATGGATTAAAAATCATTAATTCCTCCAAGTTTGTTAATTTATAAAGGAAATCTAAATTGTAGTTGTTATTGCTATTGTTATGATTTTTACCGATTACTAATATTTTTAAAGATTTTGGTAAAATATTATCATCTGATGAAATTTGTTGGTCAAATGAATCACCAATTATTAATTTCTCTAAATTCAATGGTAAAGAGTTGGCTTCAATTGGTTTATTAAATGTTGAGCCTAAATTCAATTCTTTTAAATCACCATTCAATGGTAAAATACCTGCTTCTATTGATTGATCAAATCCCTCTACAAAATTTATTATTCTAACTGATTCTGGTATTGACCCTTTTTCAAGTTTAAAATTTGATAAACTTAATGAGGTTAATGATTTAGGTAATACATCAACTTTTATTATATTATTACCTATACTGTTTTTATTATTACTTCTATTGAGACCATGGTTATTATCATCATCTGAGTCATTTAATTCAAGCTCTAATTCTAAATCATCATAACCTTCATTATAGTCTTCATCATCATCATCATAACTATCACTTTCACTTGTTTCATCATCGATACCGTCAGTACTAAAACTACTACTACTGCTATAATCTTCTTCTACTTCTTTTTCATCACTAATATGTATTATTGGATGAGGTTTATAAGATTTTAAACGTTTAGGTGGTTTTATTTCATTATGATTTGATGTTATTTTTAAGTATTTTACAGATGGTGGTATATAATTAATTTTATGTTTATAGGAGGAGCCAATAGTTAAACTTTTTAAATTTATTAATGGTTCTAATAATTCTTTAGATAAATAATAGTTAAATGAGTTACCAAATAATATACTGGTTAGAGATTGTGGTAAATAATTTAATGGTATCTCTTCATTAAAATTATTTCCAAATTTTAATGTCTCTAAGAATTGAGGTAACTTATTACTATTATTTAATAATGGTGATGACTTTATATACCCACTACTCTCATCAATCCTTAGAAATGTTATATAGTTTCTAAATTTATTTTCATTTAATATATCTTCATTTAAATTATTAAATATTTTATATCTTGAATATTTATATAGGTTTGCATAAATTCTTAAATGTGATATTATTATTGCTTTTAAATATTTATTTCTAAAAACTTTAAAAAATACTATATCATTATTATTATTATTATTATTATTATTATTATTATTATTATTATTATTATTATTATTATTATTATTATTATTATTATTATTATTATTATTATTATTATTATTATTATTATTATTATTATTATTATTATTATTATTATTATTATTATTATTATTATTATTACAATATTTATTTGTACAATTATTATTATCACTATCCATTTTATTACTATTTCTTTTTTTTATTTTTTATTTTTTTATTATTTATTATTTTTCACCTTTGTTTTTTTTTTTAACTTTTTTTTATTATTATTATTATTATTATTATTATTATTATTATTATTATTATTCATAATAAAAAAAAAAAGGTTATAAGTTATAACATAATATTTGCCAACTGGACGTTTAAAAATAGAAAAAAAATAAAAAATAAAATAATAAAATTTTTATAAAAAAAAAAAATTTTAAAAAAAAAAAAATTAAAAAAAATCAAAATTTTTTTTTTATCTGTGTTGATCTCTCGACCTATTCCAAAAAAAATTTCAAATAAGACTTTCATACCATGAATTTTAAAACTTTTTATTGAAACTAATCAATCGTTTTTCCAAAGAGTTATTTTTTTTTTTTTTTTTTTTTTTAATAAAATTATTACTAGTGAAGTTCTTTTTTTTTTTTTTAAAAAAAAAAAATATAAGAAATTATTTATTGTTTAATTTAAAATAGAAATATAATTCAACTTGAAAAAAATGTTGATTTTGAATAAAAAAACAAATAATTTATAGTAAAAAAAGGGCAGCAAGACCAACAAAACCAAAAGCTCCACCAACACTGGCTAAAAATTCTTTTGTATGAAAAGTTTTTTCATTAGAACCAAAGGAATTTTTATTACCAAACGAAAGTTCATTTTGTTGGATTTGAATATTCGAATTAGCTTTTATTGATTTGTTACCACCAAGATTAGAGATTGTTTCTATAATAGAAAATTGTAAAAAAAAAAAAAATAAAAAAGTCAAATATTAGTATTTGAAGAATATATAAATTATTAATTTTTTTACCTACTAAATATTGCCATTTAGATTTTATAATTTTACTATTACACTGTTTTTTTAATAAAGTTATTTATTATTATTAAAATTTTTTTTTTTTTTCAACCTTTTAAACCAATTTTTTTAAATACAAAATTTTTTTTTTTTTTTTTAACCTGTACAACATAACCAAAAAAAATTATATTTTCTTTTTTAATTTTTATTTCCTTTTGAGTTTTTTTTTTTTTTTTTTTTTTTTTTATGTGCAATATTTATAATTTACAAACAAAAACAATTTGGTGTATAAAGAATAAAGTTTTTTTTAATTTGTACAATCAATCTCAAAAAACCAGATAATCAAATTATTGCACATCTATCAATGAATTGCTAGTTTTATACATCATGTTTGAACAAAAAAATGAAAAATACCCACTAAATTTATTTTCAACCATTACAAATTAGTGGTACTTTTATTATTATAATTAATTTTTTTTTATTTTATTAAAATTTTTTTTTTTTTTTTTTTTCTACAAAATTCAATAATTCAATATGTCTAATTTCGGTAAAATAGAATTAGAATTTTGGTACTAAAAAATTAAAAAAAATTTTTTATATTTATTTTGTTTTTTATATGGAATCATTTTATAGGTATTTCTATTATTGAAGAAAATCATTTTAATTATAGAGAATATTGAAATTATATTTGTTATATAATTGAAGATTTTTAAAGTATTCATTGATATACCAATATTAATTAATTGGATTACTCTACTCAATGGTTATATAATTTTAGTATATTTTACTTCAATTTTTTTAATTAATTTAAAATTAATTGTAAAAAGTAAATTTTACTAAAAAATTCTTTTTTTAGTATTATTAGACTAAAGAAAAAAAAAAAAAATAATGGGTGTTTTTTTTTTTTTATTTTATTTTTTTTTTTTTTTTTTTGAAAAGTGGTGTTAATTACAAATTTTTACAATTGTTAATTATTTTATTACTTTTTATTTTAATAAAATTTCAATTTTTTTATTATTGCCTTTCATATTTGACCTTTTATAATTTTTTTTTTTTTAAATTTTAATTTGCTTAAAAACTAATATAGAAAAATAAATAAAAAAAAAAACAAAATGAATCAGGTATTACCAAATGAAGTCCAATCGGTAACATTCAAATTACAATCAGTAGATGATGAGAATGAGTATTCATCAATTAGATCTTCTTCATCTATGTCCCTATACCCAAATTTTATTAATGGTGGTAGCAATGAGAATTTATCCATGTTATACTATAATCATGGACAACAACAACAACAACAACAACTACAACAACAACAACAACAACAACAACATCTACAACAACAACAACAACAACAACAACAAAGTAATCAAATACAATTACAACAAATCCAACTATCAAAAAATGAGCCCATAATATTAAATATTGGTGGTTTTAAATATTGTACAACCAAAGGAACATTAACAAATCAAAAGAATAATTATTTTGATATATTATTCTCTGGTAATTATAATGTTAATGTAATTAAAACTCCAAATAAACCTGATACTTATTTCATTGATAGGTAATTATTATTATATTTAAAATTTTAAAAAAAAAAAAATATAAAAATATTTACCATTAAAAAAAAAAAAAAAAAAAAGAGATGGTACACATTTTAGAATTATTTTAAATTTTTTAAGAGGTGATTGCTCAAATATCCCAGAATGTGAACAAATTAGAAATGAATTATATGTTGAAGCTGATTTTTTTTGTTTATCAGGTCTAAAGGAAATTTTGTATCCTTACCATTTTTTTCAATCTAAAATATTATCTGTTGAATTATCAAAAGACTTAATTAAATTATTAAAATCCAAATTACATATAAAAAAATCAAGATTATTATATAGAGTAAAAATTATAATTTTTTTATTTATATTTTTATTTTTATTTTTATTTTTTTTAATCTGATAATAATTTATAATTTTTTTTATTTTTTTCTTTTTTTATTTTTTATTATAAAATAAAAGGGATCAGATAACAATTTTTCATCAAAGAAATTTCACGAATTATGTGACTTTAAAGGATCAACAATTACAGTGATTAGATCAAAAGATAATATATTTGGTGGATTTACAAGTAAACATTGGACATTATCAACTCAATACACTCAAGATAATCAATCGTTTTTATTTGATTTAGCAAATATACCACCATCAATTATTAAAAAAGAAGAGAACTCATCAAGTCAATCAATTTATTCAAATATTAACTATGGTCCAACATTTGGTATTTTGGGTAAGAATTTAACCATTTCAAATAATTGTAATTCCAATAAAGAAAATTTTTTTGAATCCTATTATGATATTAAAGGAAAAGGAAAAAGATATTTTCAAGTTGATGAATATGAAGTTTTTAAGATTGAATGTTAAACCATCCAATTATTTATGTAAATAAATAAAATAAAATTACTAAAAAAATTTTAAGGAATTTTTTTTTTTTTTCTGTTTTTTTAAGCACAACAAATAATTTATTTTTCTTTAAATTTAATATAGGGTGAGGTTGTACTTTTTTTAAACTCTGAAAATGTGCAACACAGAGCAAATACATTATTAGATGTAAAATAAAGGACATGCCAATATCATAATAACAACTAAACCTCGAATAAAAAATAATTTTAAATTCGAATGCTACCACTTAGATAGCTGAACGATTTTAAGCGTTCAAGAACAGATACTACACTTGATTAAAGCTTTCGCTTCAAGAAGATTTTTTGACTTTTGCTTTTTAAGGCTCAAGTGATTTTAAAAAATAATTCTCTCTTCATTTTTATATTAATTTTTAAAAATGATTTTTTTTGGGAAAAAAATAAAAATATTACTTTGATAAAATTAAAACAAAGAAAAAAAAAAAAAAAGAAAATTTGTCAATCAAAAAAAAAAAAAAAAAAAGTAAAAATAAAAAATTGGGAAAATTTACCGATTTGTTAATATTGTTTTTTATTTAATAATATTTTAATATATTATATTATTTTTATTTATAAAATAAGAATTACCAAAAAAATAAAGGGATATTTTTTTTTTCTGTATATATAAATTATAAAAATTAAAAAATAAAAATAATAAATATAAAATAAAAATTTTTATTTCAAATCAATTTCCAACATGGAAGTAATTGGACAAAAAAAAATCAAATAATTCTGAAAATAATTTGATCAATTATAAATAATACATTCAAATATTGAAAGGGAGAAAATAAATTAAATACAATCATTTGTATTCTAAACTTTATAATCCAGATTTTAAAAATATTAAATAAAAAGAAATTATATTCTTAAATTTGTTTTTTTTTTTTTTTTTTGTTTTTTTTTTTTTTTTAGAAGAAATATAAATTATTTATTTAAATTTCTACTACTATTACCACCTTGAGAACCAGAACCAGAAGAATAAGATAATCTTGAAGCTGATAAAGGTGAATTTTGAATACTACCACTTCCTCTACTAAGTGTTGATTTACGAAGATGAGAATTTATCATTAAAACACTTTTTGTACGTTGAGTTTGAACCTTTGTAAATTGAGCCAATGCATTTACCCATTGGTTACGAATTTCATCAGTTTTTGCAAATAGTAATAGTTCATGTTCATCTTCTATCCTTATTTGAAAAGCATTAAAGAATTTCATTGATGGTACATCTTGAAGTATTGTCAATACTATTGGTTTATCTTTAATTTGGTAATATTGTTTAACATGTAATTCATCATGACTCTTTTCCACTTTTAATAAACCAGTTTGAAAAAGTATAAAATGAAATTTGAGAGAGTCTTGTTTTAATTTTGAATTTGCTGCTATACAATTTCCAGGTGTTAAAATATCCTGAATTGGAGGTACCAGTTTCATATAGATATCTTGAATTGATTGTTTATTTTCAGATTCTCTTTTTCTTTCATTCAATTGAATTGTAGTTTTCTTTAATGATTTAACAGCATTATCAATTGTTTCATAATCGAAATGATGTGGTGCTGTATGTTTTAATAGATCTTCTAATAACATCACATAACGTGGCATACGTTGAATTGGCATAATTAAATAACCAGGTAACTCTATTGATGCTTTATCACGTTGATCAACTAAAAACTCTACAAACTTTTCATTATCCCTCTTACAATCCTCTAATACTTTTATTGAGTTATTGTAATTATTTACATAAGTACTATAGCATTGAATTGCATCATCCATATAATTAAATACTTCACCTATAGATTGATTAATTGACCAATTATTGATTTTCTCCTCAATTATTGTTAAAAATTTTGAATTGAATTGATGAATAACTTCAGAATTACTAAATATAGAAGCTAAATCATCATTAGATATAATTGATTTATTACGTAATGGTATAATGAAAACATCGATTTTTGTAGCCAATGAATTACAATAAGTTTGTTCAGTTGTTAGTAGCTCTTTAACTATTCTATATCTTCTATTATAAACTTTTAGTTCACTTGTGAAATGTTTTCTTTGAGAGAATGCTTTAACATTTGCAATTAAACTATTTAATCCATCTACTAATCTTTGTTTAGATTCCTGTTGAAGTTTTTCATTATTTTGATTATTTAATTTTTTATATGCCAATTCGTTTAAAACTTCAACTAAAATTTCAGTTTCATTCTCTTCTGAACCATATTCACCAAAACTTTCAAAATCTGAATCACCTGCACTTGAAAATCCACCAACTTCTAAATCATTCATATTTATATTTTTTTCACCACCACCTCCACCACCACCACCACCACCATTGGCATCAGCACCATCTTCATCTAAATTTTGATTTGTATATTCATCATCATGATCAGAATCATAATCACTATCATAACCTCTTTCCATTGAAGATATTTTTTTAATTAATGATATCATTCTTTCTATTGGTTTTATAACTAATACTTGAAAATCTCTTGAAATTAATAAAGTTCCAAATGAAAGGATAATAATTAAACAAGTGGTCATTGTAATTGATAATGCAGCTAAATATTGTTCATTCTTTTGATTGTTTACCCACATTTCATTTACATCTGATCCATTGAAAGAATTTTTAATGATCCAACTTGGATACCAATGATCAGTGTCAATCGATGAATGATAAACATCAACTCCATTAATTTTAAGATATAAAAGATCGACAGTTTCTGTATTCTCTTGAATTTCATTAAATGCTGATAAGAATGGTTGAGATGATAAACCATTTTGATTTGCAGATACAACTAATAACTCTAAGATAGAATTAAAATATGGTTCGGAATCTGGTGCTGGTGAAGTTAGTGTAGTTATCAATACGATTAATAGACACATAACTACAATTTTATGAGATGTTTTACCCAAAAGTTTTTTTCCTATTGAACTGGGTTCCACTGATACTGATATTTCATTCTTTTGTTTTTCTCGTACACGTTTACCACATTGAAAAACATCGAAAAAGTTTATAATTCTAGCTATCCTAGATAAACGTGATGCCATTCTTGCAACTCTTGCTGTTCTAGAGATTGATAGTGAATTTAGAGTGTATAATAAACTTGTAACTCCAAATATGTATCCAATTACATCAGGTATCAATGAAGCAATAGATATTAAATCGATGGGGAAGAATAATGTTAAAATATATGCCAATCTTTGAACATAGATTTGAAATAATAAATCAACTACAAATATAAAAAATACAATCACCTTTAAAACTGATACAGAATTAAATGTTGCAGGTGAATTTGGTGCCAATGTAGTATACAATAAATCATCAATATACAATAAGAATAGTGTTGCAACTATCATTATTATCATTGAGATTTTACTATTCATAAATTTACTAATTTTCCTTCTTCTAATATATGAAGCTTTACTTTTTTTAGCTCTCCTTTTCTTTTTCAAATTTCTAAGTTTCTTTATACCTTTACCATGGAATATCTTATGACTTAAATCTGAAAATGATTTTTGTGTATTTTGTAAATGTGACATTGAAAACCATCCACCTATATTAGATAAATGTATACCATGATGATGATGATGATGATGATGATGTGATGAAATTCCAAATTTTTTTTTTGGTGATTGAGATGATTCACTGTTGTTATTGTTGGTGTTATTAGTAATGCTATTATGATTTTTTAATGATGATTTCATATAAAAATTACTAACACCACTAATATTACTTGCTGTATCATCCATATTCATCATACTAGTTGATGATCCAATTGAATCATATCCACCACCTTGTTGTAACATTCCAACTCTAGATATACTAATAGTTGGTGAAATATTATTTGATGATGATGATCCAACATCTGGATCAATCATTTTTTTTTTTTTTTTTTATTTTTTTTTTTTTTTTTATTTTTTTTTTTTTTACTTTTTTTATAATTTTTTATTTAAAACTATAAATTACTATTTTACACTTTAGTGATTGGTTTCTTTTTTTTTTTTTTTTTTTTTTTTTTTTTTTTTGTTTGTAAATACAAATAATAAAATATAAATAATTTAAATTACAAATAAAGTTAATAACTAACGGCAAACAAAGAGTGATTGAAATTTTATTATTTTTTAGATTTGAGTGACTTTTGGGAAAAGAAAAAAAAAAAAAAATTATAAAAAAAAAAAATTACTAATTAATTAATATGAATTAAAGTGTAACCGAAATTGATTAAAAAAAAAAAAAATAAAAAAAAAAAAAAATAATAAAAATAAAAAAAAAAGTAGGAGAAGTTAAAAATATCTTTTTTTTTTTTTTAATTTTTTTTTTTTTTTTTTTTTTTTATTTAATTTTTTTGATGTTTTTTTATTATAATTTTGTTATGAGAAATTGTGATCGTCTGCAAAAATTTGTGATTTTTTTCAAAATCAACCAAACAAATCAATTTTCTAATAATAAATTCATATTTTTCAAAGCATGTTTATGAAAAAAAAAAAATTAAAAAAATAAAAAAAAAAAAGGAATTAGTAGAATTACATTAAAAACTTTAATTTTTTTTTTTTTTTTTTTTTTTTTTTTTTTTTTTTTTTTTTTTTTGGAAAAAATGTGTATGCGAATATTGGTCTCAAAATAAATATTAATTTGGTTTCTTTTGATCATTATTTTTTAAAATTTTTAATTAAAAAAAAAATAATAATTTTTTTTTTTTTTTTTTTTTTTTTGGAATTTAAAAGATGTGTACGAAGTACTTTGAGATTATATTTTATGAAAACAGAAATATATTTTTTTTTTTTTCATAATATTTTTTTATTTTTTTTCATTCGTTTTTTTGCCATTTATAATCAATCAATCTCATTTTCAGCAAATTTTATAAAATTTTATTTTTTTAATTTTTGAAAAAAAAAAAAAATATTAAAAAAAAAAAAAAAAAAAAAGTGTTGTTTTTTAAAGAAAAAAAAAAAAGTAAAACATTCCACACAGAAAAAAAAAAAATGAAAAACTTTTTTTTATTTGTAATAATATTTATATTATTTTTAAATAGAAATGTTGAGTCTAGTATATTTCCTATTGTAAATAACGGTGTTTTTGATCAATATGTAAGCTTTTAAATTTTTGTTTTTTTTCTTTCAAGATACAAAGTTTTTCATTATACATGTATAATCACTAACATTTAATATAATATGAAAAAAATAATAATAATAAATAATAATAATAAATAATAATAATAAATAATAATAACAATAATAATAATAATAATAATAATAATAATAATAATAATAATAATAATAATAATAATAATAATAATAATAATAAT